CCCGTGTCCCCTGCATCGGCAGGTGGACTCTCAACCACTGCGCCACCAGGGAAGCCCTAGACATACAACTTTTATTCAAAATAATCTAAGGCCAATGGCATGCAGATCCTACACACCCATTATATACCTGCAGAACTTCATGAAATACTTTGTAGACAAGAAAGGGCCTAACTAGATGAGGTCAGGATTTCAGCCACTCTTGTGTTTGGTTCTGTCAGGGAAATGTAGTGGTCCTCAGTGCTTGCCTGCTTGGAGCCTTCTCTGAGCACCTTTAGGTTGTCCTCTTCTCTGAGGTCTCAGACCATGTACTCTCTACTGCTGTGGTCACACTTAGCATACTGTACTGCCATTGTGGGCTGTCAGTCGTAGCACCAGCCTCGAGCAGATGTCAGTAACACATAAATGAATGAATGAATGAATGAAAAATCAGTTCTATAAACTAGTGGTCTATCAAAAATATATCTAATAAACTTGTTCATAATCCATCAGGTATTTATTATCCACAAATTTATTAAGCCAAAAAGAGCTTAGCACTTATGTTTTCAAGATGTAAACACTGGGCTATAATGTAACATTAAGGAATGCAAAATGGTTTTTTTGAGTGGAGAGCAGATAAGGAAGTTCCCATGTATATTTTTTTGTGCCCTTGCAAGATAGGTTTTCTCACTGTATAAATTTAACTAGAGTATGATTGCTTTCTCAGCCAAGTGAGGATAGCGTGAGATATATAGTTCACCTGATGGTGTAAACTCTCCTGGTATTGGCTGATCGCCATACAGTGTCTACTTTCTTGATAAGGGAGAATATGCTGATTAAAGATGAGCCTGCATCTTGATATTTAAACATACCTGTTTCTGTTTCCCATGTATCCTAAACCTATCAATATGAATTCCAATGAAATCAGAATGTTTTCTAAACTTTCAAACTCTGAATCAGTTGTCAGAAAAAGAGAATAGGTTAGTGGTGCAGATAAACCATGTTTCCAGAAAGAAAGAGAACAAAGTATGCAGTCAGTCTGAGTGCAGACCAAAAAACGGCTGTTGCTGAAACAGACCGCATATCCATGGCTACAGCTGGCATAGCCCACAGGACAGTGATTATCCTTGGCTTGTCTGTTAATGGTGGTGAACCTCAATGTGTATGCAGTGGAATCAGAACAATCTAGGTTGGCTTAAAACATTAGTACCCTCAAGGTTATATTTATGTAAGACTCAGTAGTAACTTGTCATAGAAAATAGTGCACATGCTTCTATTTATAGGAACATGGAAGTCTCTTTCTAGTAATAGATTCATTTTATGCAATGTGGAATATCTGATGGGCTGAGGAAGACCTTCATCAGTTTCTGGAAACTAATAGAACTAAAAGAACAAGGGTGTACTACGTCAGTTTCTGTACAGACTATGTGAAAACATAATCCTTTTCTTGTAAAGACCTACAGGGGATGTGTACTCAAAGTTATCCTCTTTTCAGTAATTTCAAATATTTAGGTGGTAAATTGAAATATCATTTTAGCAGTTTCCAGAACAGCTAGAGTGAGAAATAATCTGTTGGACTATTGGAATTCTTGATTAACTCAGATCATGGTTAAATATTATCACGATTTCTAGGAGTTACCTGGGTCCATAGCACATGGTGGTTATAAGCATGGGTTCTCAAGTTAGACATTTTGAGTTTGAATTCTGTTTCCACTATTCACTGGCTATGTTCCTTTGGGGCAGGATACTTAAAACACTCTATGCTTCAGCTTCCTCATCTGTGAAATGGGAATAATAGTAGTACTTACAGGTGCGTTCTTATGAGGTTTAAATAGATTGTGTAGGTAAAACACTTAAAACAATGACTGGTGCTTAGAAAGTGCTTGAAAATACAAGCTATTACTAGTGATGTTCAACACATTTCAGCAGAAGCCTTTAAGCACCTGCTACATACAAAAGTTATACAAAAAACCATGGAAAATACAAAAGTAAAAAAGACTTGACAGACTTCTGGTTTCCAGTCTGGCATGTCAGGAACTTGGAAGTTACCATTCTGTCCTAACAACAAGTAAAAAGCTGAACAAACTGAAAAAGCAACAACTCCTCTTAGATCTGTGAGAGAAGTGACGTCATCACAGGGCAAACTACTTTACAAACGGGAGAGACGGACAGGTGGGTACAGAGAATCACTTTTCTAAGCAGAAATCCATGAGCAGAAACCTCCACAAGAACCAGTGCCAGGATAGGAAATCCTGAGCTATAATTCATGAATTATTGGAGGCTCAGTGGGGATAAGCCTGAGACTTAAAAACTCCAGGGGAATCCAGTTATGGGAGGAAGCCCCCACTTTTGTAGTTTTATCTCCAGGAGTTCTGCAATGTCTTCACAGTGAATACTAGAGAAAAATCCCTTCTGCTTATGGCAGGAGGAGGTAAAAAGTAGCCACCTTGAAATACACCAGAGCATTTTGTTTTTTGTAACAAGGCCTGCCCTCAGAAAGGTATTTTACCACAGCCTAACCCACTGAGGGGTTATCAGAGCCTGATCTACCTGTGGGAAGGGAAATACTCAACTTCAGCTCTAGACTTCCATGTGGGGGAAAGGAAACACCCAATTCCAGTTGCCTTTAGCTATGCTGTCCCACCTAAGAGGTGAGGGGGAGCAACTGCAAAGCACTGGTGAGGTTCGCAGTCCAGGGCCATAGGGTCCTAAAAGACTGATACCTAATTCTAGGACTCTAGTATGCTTCCCATCCCCCACATCTTACAACCATGTTACAAAAGGGTTATTTACCACAGTACCCTGTATCCAGTGCATCATGTACATCTTTCAACAAAAAATTACCAGGCATACTAAAAGGCAAAAACCACACTTTAAAAAGACTGAACGAGCATTAGAACCAGAGTCAGATAGGACAGGGATGTTGAAATTATGAGACCAGGAATTTTTTGCGAACTATGATAATATGCTAAGGGCTTCAGTGGAAAAAGTAGGCAACATACAATAATAGATGGAT